GTGTGTGTGTGTGTGTGTGTGTGTGGAGGGAGAGAGAGAGGGAGAGAGAGAGCAGCGCAGCAGTCAGCTCTCCCCACCCGAGGCTGAAGGTCAACAGACATCAACTAAGCTTGGTAACTGTTCCACCCTCTGACTGCTGCAGGGGCGTGTCTTAGAGAGAGGCTTTTATACCAGAACACAGCCGCTGTGACGAAACCGTGGAGAAGACACGTCACAGCGGAGAGCCGTTAACCAATATGCAAATTAGCCTGCAGTACCACTGCTCTACCCATATGAGCAGCAAAAAGACGTTTTTAGACCAAATATTATAGATTTGAACAAAAATGCACCAAAACATCAAAATTAGCACAGAAACAGTACTAAATAACATTTTAGACACATTCTAGACAGTTTATCAGCTAAAAAAAAGTTAATTTTGGGGTAAGTTACTCTTTAAACAATTCAATTGGTTGTCTTCTTTTGAGTGACACCTCTTTTGACCAACTGGGTCCATCTATAGACTCTCCAGAGCCCAAAATGTATGGCAAGCCCCTCATGACCCACTTGTCTGTGGTACACATGATATGATTTACTAGAATCAGCCAATCAGCTCTGAGTTCATTCTGACACCACAGCTGTGCCGCCAATCAAGTTACCTTTTATGCAGTTTTGGAAATTAAAAAAAGTGAATGGTTATTGTGTATTTTAACTTCAATAACTAAATAGTAGTTACATTTACAACAGTAATGACTGCTGAAGTTAAAAATTCAGATTGATAGGTTTACATAGAGACGAGGCTAATTTGGGTTAACTATGTGCACTTTCATTTAAAAGAGTGACCCTTTAAAAAGTTAATACAAATAGTTTTGTTGAGGAAAGACGGAGTCACCATCAGACAGTTATCTGAAGCAAAGGAACAACAGAGCTCATATTCATTGGTTGTTCAGAACACCAGGCCAGATAGATCTTCCACCTCCTTATAAATCAGTTACAACAAGATCCCCTCTTAAGATACAATGCCCGTTCCTCCCAATTTATTAAACTGAAAATTCCTAAAACCAAGTCTTCTTTTAGAACTTAAATGGTAAATGGACTGTACTTAAATAGCGCCTTTCTATCCAACCAGGACACTCAAAGCGCTTCACACTGCAATCTGTGTCCTCATTTACCCATTCACACAACACTCTATTATGTCTCTACAAAGCTAACATGTACTATCATCTATGGAGACTAATCAGTGTTTCAAATCACATTCATACACTGTTGAGACACACATCAGAGACATTGGGGGTGAAGTCTCTTGCCCAAGGACACATCTGAGACAGCTGGAACGGGGGATGGAACCGACGACTTACCGGTTCCAGGACGACTTCCCTAACCACTCTACCAGAGCCGCCCCTTACAGTGGGGTGCGAAAGTTTGGGCAGCCTTGTTAATTTTTCTGATTTACCTTTATAAATCATTGATTGTTTGGATTAAAAAATCAGTTAAATATATCATATTGGGGACAAACACACTGATATTTGAGAAGTGAAATGAAGTTGATGTGATTTACATAAAGTGTGCAATAATTGGTTAAAAAATAGGCAGGTGCATAAATTTGAGCACCAAAAACACCTTAACTCTATATTTAGTAGCTCCTCCTTTCACAGAAAAACAGCCTCTAAACACTTTCTACAGCTTCTAATGAGAGTCTGGATTGTGTCTGAAGGTATTTTAGACCACTCTTCTTTACAAAACATCTCTAGTTCATTCAGGTTTGATGGTTTCTGAGCATGGACAGCTCTCTTTAAGTGACACCACAGATTTTCAATAATATTCAGGTCTGGAGACTGAGATGGCCATTCCAGAACGTTCTACTTGTTCCTCTGCATGAAGGCCTCAGTAGATTCTGAGCAGTGTTTAGGGTGGTTGTCTTGTTGGAAGATGTAGCCCCGGCTTCAGTAGCTTCAGCTTTGTCACTGATTCCTGGACATTGGTCTCCAGAATCTGCTGATATTGGTTGGAATCCATGCGTCCCTCAACTTTAACAAGATTCCCAGTCCCTACTGGCCACACAGCCCCACAGCATGATGGAACCACCCCCACATGTTACTGTAGGTAGCAGGTGTTTTTCTTGGAGTGCTGTGTGCTTTTTCCTCCATGCAGAACGGCCCTTGTTCTGCCCAAATAACTATATTTTAGTTTCATCAGTCCACAGCACCTTATTCCAAAATGATGCTGGCTTGTCCAAATGAGCTTTAGCATACCTCAAGCGAGAAGGGGTTATTTGCGTAATCAAAGTGGGCGTGTCACAAGAGTGGGTGTGTCAAAAGCATAAACACTGTGGGCTACAAGGCCTGCATGACGG